ATTGAGTTGAATATGTTCATTTCCTTTTAAAAAGAAACACTTTATAAGCAACATGAAGGCAAAGTTTTCTTATAGATATATATTCAATATGTTCTTACATCAGGAGTTAGTCTTGGTCCAATACATTCAATCAGTGACTGCACAATGTACGCATGTTCAAGTTTAGCAGCAGAAGTCAATGCTGACGGGGTACCAGGTTTTCTGTCTTTTGGTTGTCCAAATCCCCCACGGTCCTTGGCACCTACAACGTATCATTTAACATGAGATTAWAATTACAAATATTAATTCAGTCCCTCCCCTCCCTGGTGACAAAGCCTACAAACCTGGAATGACAGACTGTGTACTTGATGGTCGACCATAATCCATTGGGTTTGTGCTAAGTTTAGCTCCCATAGGCCCTTGCGAAACACGCTTTTGTCCTGCATGATGAATAACGCTGACCAGTGATGACAGACTGAAGTTAAGATGAAGACTTTCTYCTCTGAAACATGACAAATAACTCAATATTACTAAGATGTACATCAGTATTAAGCATTACTTATGTCCTTGTAACTTACAGTTGTTGAGAACAGATRTCCGTCACAAGTCTAAGGCGATCCGCGATGACCTTGTGAGACTTAAATCCTTGGCCTGCACAATGAGCCCGCAGCACCAATGAAACATCTGGTACAACCATAGCAACAGAACGGAAAAGCGCTTTCACTTCCGGCGGAAGTTGTCTTCTTTCGCCATTAATGGAAGCAGTTAGGAAAACTGAGAAATTCGGATTGACATTAATCTGCAAAAAAAAAAAAAGCWTTAGTTATGACACCTACTCCAGACATCAAGTGTGTTGTACGTGGTCTTACCTCTTTACTATCATCTATGGTACATGTAGATGTTCCTGCACGCATTGCTAACAGTACTGCTTGTATCTCGTACACTAATACAGACACGACCTCTTTGTTAACTTGATGAAATTCGTCCATCAGACCCCARCATCCTTCCTGTTAACACATAATAAATATATCAACATATATTAAGATAAATACAAGGACATACGAAAAGCCACTTACCTCAGCAAGACCAACGATAATTTTGCCAATACCAGAAGCAGCCATTCTAGGTGAACAACTCAAGGTTACTAGATACCGACCCAGTAAATACGCCAAACCCTTGATGGTCTCTGTCTTGCCTGTATCTGTGGCACCTTGAAGTGCGCCGCCATAGAAATTCCATATAGACTGAAAACACATCAATTTTTCGTTATGTATGTATGTATTACATATTGGTAGTGTATCAGTAAGACTGTATCAATACCTGTGTTAGTGTGAGGAAACATCTCTCGGTAACAGGTGTCAGTACCAGGCCACCTTCATCGCCGTAGAACTCACAGTCATACGGTAGTTGAGCATCTAACATATGAATAACGAAAGGATCCCTAGACAAATCCTTGTCTTCAATCACTGTTGGTTCACTGTTCTCTGATTGGTCCTTGTCCTCTGTTTCTAATGGCAACCCTAAGAAAACGATTCAACAAGATAAGTCACGGTGATTGGCTAAGTTGGACATATCACGTGGCAAAGGAAACTGACCAATAGCTTTGCTGCTTCCTGTTCCATAGAAGCGAATGTTTCTTTTCCACTCAAAGTCCACAACATCTCTTAGTTTACGTCTGCCAAGATCGTCTAAGATATCCCTCAGAAACATCCCTTGCTGTAGTAAAATATAGAAGAGTAAGCACGAATGTTTGTATAAGTCAACTGACACGAACACGTAAGAAATACTAACCGACAAGAGAGTTTCTAATCTGATTTTATGATAGGCAGGCATCTGTCCATCACTGTGTTTCCATGATCCTCGAGCCAGCAGGTTTGGTATTTTAGTTAAACCAGACCAGAATCGTTTGGTAGCATTTGGTAAAGCCTTCCTGTCAATACGGATGTCTGCGATACCCTATACAACATTATGCAAAAGGAGAGTAAGTACTGTCCATACGGATGTCTACGATAGTACTACATGGATAGTTCATATAGGGACAGTTCAAAGCAGGACTTACCGCTTCACATTCTTTTGTCCACACGTACAGAAGGCCAAGCCGACATACTTGCGCRGGATACTAAACAAAGTCAAAAAGACCATACCATGATTAGCTAATTACAAGGTGGGCGAGCTCCCTGTGTTATTATAGTAGTACAAATACCTTTCCTGCCCATTCCTCGATGCTCTGAGACGCATCGATATCATTGATGCATTCCTTGATATCAGAATACAACGAGCCGTGAATACTCTTCAGTAATGCTGACAGCCACACGTCTACACTTGATGTCAAAGGAACCTGAATGAATAAAAATGATGACTAGTCATGTTCCGTTCCATTATACTGTAATACTGGAAGCTTGTATTGTCTAAATAGACCCACTCAAACCTGAAGGGTCACAAGGGTTTATGGTTCCATTATACTGTAATACTGGAAGCTTTTATTGTCTAAATAGACCCACTCAAACCTGAAGGGTCACAAGGTTTATGGTTCCATTATACTGTAATACTGGAAGCTTGTATTGTCTAAATAGACCCACTCAAACCTGAAGGGTTGCAAGGGTAAATTATTACCTGAGTCTTAAGTTGAACAGTTTCCCCCAGGTCAGAACTAACAGCAGTAGCAATATTCTGTGGTATTGTACTTCTCCAATCCAAGTCTCGTAGTTCAAGTGATGAATGCATTACACTGGAACGATGYATGATGACATCTGAGTCTTTGATGTTCGCTGCATCAAAAGGCTTCAAAGACCGTCCTTCTTCTTTGGACATACTAAACGAAGCGCTGTCTTCACGAGCCCTTTGTTTCCATTGAGAAACGCTGCTCAGGAATAGATTCTTCTTGGGTGGTGCGGATTCAGGTGCGACTTGGATGAGACTAACATCAGTGACACTAGAGAACAAACACCTGAAAAACACCATTACAAGGTATAAAACAGGGTATCTCTAAAAGGAAATACATTGAGGTGTTGCAACGTACCTGATGTATGGTTTAAGTGAATCTAGATTGTGTGGTTTGCTAAGGATAGCCAACAGCACCGTGTCTGTCACAAAACAAAACCTTGGAAACACCTATCAGGGACAAAAAGGTACCTCTATTATCGTTGTAGAGAGTTGGTATGATAGATAAGGTGCGCACCGCAAAACATTTAGTATTCACTATATTTACTCTCTACCTTTCTCTTCGAGTCCAAGAACCCAACGAGTGACTTGAAGCAAATTTCCAGTTCTTCATGCAAATGTTTTAACATCTGAATCTTCGGTACGTCACCACCTACACAACACTGTAAAGGAAAACGTAAGTTTAAAGCACGATCCACGAAAAACGTAACTTTACCACTGACACTAATATCAACCTTATGGTGTGGGACAGGACGATATAAGTCATTCATAGTTTGCTCATGTTACCTGCAAGACATTCTTCGTTTCGTAGGCTCTCTTCATCATCTTCATGTAACTCTTATCAACCCGCGCGAAACGGTTATATTCCTGAGGTAACTCCTAGTATTTACATAAAAGTGGTTATTATTGATAATCATAATAWATCATATTGTTAGGGTTAGTAATATTGTATGATTACCTTTGCTGTAGCGCTGTTACTGAACACCTCTTCTAAATGCTTCCACAGGTCTTGTACTGTTAACCACTGCAAACAGCAACAGATAAAAGGTAAGTTAAAGAAGCTATAATATTATAAACCACTATATACTTCAGTTATGAGGCTGGTGCGCAACTTACTTTTCCCTCTGACAGTGAATTAGAGAAAAGTTGCAACCATCAAATGTGCAAGACGGAGATAGAACACGAAGTTTTTTCTAAGCAGGAAGCTCACTTGGCCACCCATGCTTCTAAAGTATATAGATATCATGTTAACAAGACATGATGCCACGAGTTCTAACCTGTTCGAGTACTTCACTGATTTCCTTCAGCTTCAAGGCCCATGCAGCAGCCTCGTCTCGTAATGGCCCAATATGTCTAGATGTTAACATCATAGCAAGAGTAGCCTGAGCGTCTTCCAGGACATCCAACAGATTCTCTGTATTGCTGTGACTCAGGCATACTAAACCACGGTTTTTGAAGTTCTCAAATGACAACACCTAAAGAATCATGACAAGCGTGCCCTTAATGACTTATGACTGACGATATGTGATGATGATGATGATGATGATGATGATGATGATATACGATGTATTAAAATGTTAAACTACCACATTTTTCTGTTATCTAATTATTCTGAAGTCTGATAAAGACAGACATGTAATACTGACACAAGACATGATGATAGTTGAATCTAGGTACAAGAACAGTACCATGATATCATGATATACATAATTATGAGGCTGTYACAAACGTTACCTGTTCTGTCCATTCCTCTTCAATACTTCGCATTTTCAGTTCTAGTTCCAGTTCACGGCTTGCTGAGCGGCAAATATCTTGGATCTCATTCTGATGCCTGCARTGAATACAAGATAGATTGGTTAGTGTATACTTGTATGTTATCCGTACTGTAGCACCCTACTTTCCCATCTCTCTCAAGGAAAAGTTGAGAATCAGAATGACGAGACGAAGGGAAGGGAAAGACGTTTGTAACTAGACTTACTCCAGAAGACCAATGTCCAGTAAATGAACAAGCTTAAAGATATGAGCCTCAAGTTGGAAGGATGAGCCGGTGACACTCATGACCTGCAGCCAGTGACGATTACGAATCTCCTGGAATGAAGATCACAGTATCAGTGGATCACCACAGCAGATAGCAAAAGCATAATTATAATCTTATTATGAAATAATACCGCTTTATTAGAGTTTATTATATAGTTACGTTAGTACGTGCGTGGTGATTGGTCGAAAACTGTGCGTTATTAGTGAATGGAGTAGTGCTACTAGATCCTGCGACCGTCTTTCTCTTTGCGCGCACTTTCTATTTTGCCAATAGACACCCACCTTGGCATTCAGTTTGTGTAGGATGGGGAAGACATGCAGATATTCTTGTATAGCATCTCTCATTTCTTTATAAGCTTCCCATCCTTGAATACGTGGAGGCAGACGCGTACATTCTTGCCAGTAATGCTCCATCTAAAACAATCACTCGCACTATTAGTAATCTATCTATCTATCTAGTATGTTATGCTATGGTACACACCTCTTGGTTGGCAACGATCAAGTCTACTTCAGACCACAGGGTATCTCGAAACCTGCATCACAAACATCAGGTATTAGCACGGCTGATARMATGGCTGATGTACAGTCACACGTAGCTGTTAACATCCCGGGGATGGGAAGCTTACCTTTGATCAAACGATATATACTGTTGAAACAAACCGTACAGTTGACCAAGAAGTTTAAGTTCCTATCAGAAACACAGAGATAATATTATCTTATTACTTTCTCCTGAATTGTAACACCTGACT